AAAAAGGAACCCTCGTGCACTGTTGGAGGGAATGCAAACTGGTACAGCCACCGTGGAAGATAGTATGGAGGTTCCTCAAAAAGTTCAAAATAAAACTACCCTACGATCTAGTAATTGCACTACTGGGTATTTACCCCCAAACACAAAAACACTAATTCAAAGGGATATATGCAGCCCTATGTTTATTGCAGTATTGCAACAGCCAAATTATGGAAGTAGTCCAAGATAGATGAATGGATAAAGAAGATGTGGTATATACATATACAGTGGAATATTATTCAGCCATAAAAAAGAATGAAATCTTGCAATTTGCTACAACATGGATAGAGCTAGAGAGTATAATGTTAAGTGAAATAAGTCACTCAGAGAAAGACAAATACCATGATTTGACCCATGTGGAATTTAAGAAACAAACGAGCAAAAGGAAAAAAAGAGAGAGAAGAGACAAACCAAGAAACAGACTCTTCACCATAGAGAACAAACGGATGGTTACCAGAAGGGAGGTGGGGGGGATGGGTGAAACAGGTGATGGGGATTAAAGATTATACTTACCGTGATGAGCACTGGGTAATGCAGAGAATCACTGAATCACTATATTGTACACCTAAAACTAATATAACACTGTATGTTAACTATACTGGAATTAAAATTAAAAACTTAATAAAAAATCTTAAAAATAATGAAAAAATTAAAATATTTTGCTAACCTGGGTATTTTATTAAATTTGAGTCATTTTTCTTTGCATTTAATTAATTTAAACTGTCCTAAAGTAGAAGAGATTCAATGACACAAAAGTAAAACTGAAGAGAAAAAAAATGGTTCTCAAAAGGGATTTAAAAAAAGCAGGTCAGGTTGATGAATGATGAACAAATTATCTACATCTTATTTGTAGTCTCTTAAGTGAATGTATCAAAGCAAGAAGTTCTGCCATTATTCAGTTACCCTCCTAAAATCTACTCAGAGGCAGCCTGACATCAAAGAGGTAGAGAGCAATGTGTCCAGCCCAAAAAGCTGTTCTATCTAGTCATATAATCCAAATTTGTAAGTATGAAAAGGGGATGAGCAGAGACCTAGCTGGATCTCATTACTTTCTCATTCAGTATTATCATCTTTCTGTCACCTAGAAAGATAACAGGTAAGATCTAAATAAAAGTATTTCCCACCCACCATTTGTCCTGGATACAGGTAGAAAAGCAAAGTAACTGAAACACTAATTATGCTGATCTGACACTTTTCTATAATTCTTTCCTTTTTTATTTTGGCAGGGGTGAGAAGGCGGAGGGGCAGAAGGAGAGGGAGAGAGAATCTAAAGCAGGCTCCATGCACGGTGTGGAGCCCAATGCAGAGCTCAATCTCACAACCCTGAGATCATGACCTGAGCCGAAATCAAAAGTCAGACACTTAACCAACTGACCCACCCAGGCGCCTCAATACTTTCAAAGCATAAGTGACAGGTAGCTCTAAGAGACCCAGGGAAGGGTTTGGGAAATAACCTAAGCATTTCTACACATAGAAATCAAGGAATTTAATAAATGTTCTGTGAAAAGTATAAACCTTTCCATGATGAATTAAAAACTGGACAACAAAGGATTTGCTCAGACAGAAAGTTTCTCCCCAGAAAACAATGTATGCAGATATAGAGCTATAATTGTTACCTACATAGCCATTAGGGTATGTATACACATGGATAGGAAGGGATTGAAAGTCACCAAACTATTCAGTTCAATTCTTGGCTAAAGTGAACTACTCCCCTCAGCACATTAGAAATAACATGACCAGTCTTGTAGGACCAGAGATGAATGGAACTTAAGCACTGACTCTTGTTTATTATTAAAAAGAAAAAGAAAAGCACTCTGAGGGTATTTCAGACTTTCAACAATACAAGTAGAAGTCAAAGCCCTTTCCTAACTACTATTATCTTCTACCCGCCATTTTGTCACCACAGTATCCCTTTTTACCCATGTAATTACCAATTTTTTAAACTGATTTGTGTACTTTTTTACCATATATTCTCCTTCCCTCCAGTAGAAGTTGTTGCCTCAGCTTCATGAGAGCAGACAGAGAGCTAGTCTGACTAGTTTACCAGCCCCTACGACAGTGCCTGCCAAACTGAGAGGTCCAGTAAATATTTACTGAATGAATCAATGAATGGATGAGCAAACAAACAAATCAACTCCTGCACCATAAGACTGCCCCCTCTTCATGATCCTCAGTCATGAATATACTGATTCTGAGTGATTTGCAAGGTGAAGTGGGAGTCTCTGGTGAGAGTGATTGGATCCTAGGCAGTTAGAGGGAAGCAGCAGTTGAAAGGTTAACTGTTGCAGGTAACTACAAAACAAAGAGATGTAAGCATTTAACTCTGCTAAGTACATAAAAAAAGACTCTAATACAGTGACTGCTCCACAGGCTAGACAATTTACTTGCAAAATTATTATGAGCCATCCATCTGACCCCAAACAATTGTTAAATAGATCACTTTGCTGGCAGGAATGCATGTGGAGGTGAGGGCTTCAAGCACATAGTAACTTCTGTAACAGAACATGTGCTTCTATGGTATTAGCTGTCAATGAAAAATTAAGACAATAAATGTTGCAACAAATTCGAGTATTTAACCATTTAAAGCTATACTGTACATAAAATAAATTCAAACCATATTACGGCACTTACTAGAGAAATATCTAGTCACGAAAATATCTAGTCACGAACACTGGTACTTAAAATTCTGTGACGCAGTAAGTATGGCCTGAGAATCAAATCAGACATTCTAGTCTCTAAGGCATTCTGTAATATTATGCTCAAAAATATAACATAATGACAAAACTAATGTTTTAAAATTGTAATGAAATAGGAAAAAAGAACAGTATACATAAAAGAATATCCACAAAGAAATAAATACCCATGAAATAAATATTATAAAATTCCTTCCACAAACATAAGGAAACGTGAATACTACATTAGCAACTTGTAATAAATCTGACTGAGCAGGTGAAACATTCATAATTGAGCAGAATTATCTGTAAAATGTATTTTTTGTAAAGTTAATACCTGATGTTCTGGCTGCAAGTTAGGTCAGCTTGTAAAAATAAAGATGGCCATTGCACCTGGGTAGCACCCATGGGAGCATGATGAAAAGCTTATCCATTGCAAGGAGGAGATGAGATTTCTTTGCATAAAATAAAACAGTACTTCATTTTTAAATATAGAAAATTATATATTTTTCTATTAATGAAAAATGATCTGCCACAGCCACTACTGCCAGTATCCAAGAGCTTAGGATGCCTCTCTTGAAGGGTAACTTTAGGACCACAAATCTTCATACCTGCCTCCTGCATAAACCCTCCTCAATAGGAATTCTTGAGGAATTCTATGATGATAGGACTTCTATCATCATTAGTTCACAAAAATCCCAATCACTAGGATTTCAAGAACAGTAATAATAGTAGCATCTGTTTATTATATGCCAGTCACTAATCTTTAACTTTACATACATTATCTGATTTAATCCCTTCAATGACCCATTACACAATAGACAGTGTTAATATCTGCATTGACAGACTTATTCTACTTAGAAATTTCTTGAGTTCTTACTATTTTTGACTAAGCGTGTATGTTATTTGATATATCAAGACAGCCTATCTTGAGCCATTACCTCTCAATGCCAGGTAGCATAAGCAGCCCGTTTTCTTCCCCAGGTATGACCTGGGGTTCATGACATTTGCCTTGCAAGACACTGTTTAGCTTGTGATTATCCAAGGTAGAGGTGTGCTGGAGCCAGACTGCACCACCTTGCGGGAGCTGACTGTGTACACATATTCCCAACTCTGCATTCAGGGACATTACATTGGTAACTTAAGATTGGCCATGGTGGGAGTATTTTAGACCACAGAAATTGGCAAATCAGGGCCTTTTTTATTGGAGAACTAGTTATTAAATATTCACATGCCACTGATCTGAGGAAATTTGTATTGTCAGGTCCAATTCAGATTCAGGAAGAATGAGTTCATGTCTCCCAATCATTTGAGTCCAGTTATCAACTGGACCTCTAGATATCCAGAACTCTCAGCACAGAGGCAACCCATTTTCATAACTGCTCTCTTAGATCTAGAGCAGATTCTTTCCCTATTCATTTCTACAATATGACTCATTCTTAAACATCACAAACTTCTTAATCACTGTAATTCATCCTGAGATGCCACTGAGTACTAGATTCACCATTACTTTATGTACTATTAAGAATAAAAAACATGGCCAATTAAATCGACATAACATCAACTCTAAGATACATCCTGGTACCAGAAATACTGAAATTTTTAAAATGGGCACATTAAAAACTGATGGGAAAGAATCATTTCTATACTGCTTACTGTTGTTTTCCAATCCCAGAATCTTAGTTCCAAATCTCCTTTCACTCTTGATATTCTACTCCTAGCTCTCCCACCTTAATGGTTTCCCCAGTGCATACTTATACTCACAAATATCTTTATTTATAGGCTATAAAGAGAATGAATTCTGTTCTATAATAGAAAAAATTATAATCCCGAGAGTAGATACAAAATAAGAAAAGAAAATGATAAAGCGTCGGAATTTGGTAGCAGGAGAAGAAAGGAGCATGAAGAAGTAGAAAGGGAGGCTTCTCTGAAAAGCAGAAGACTGTGGAACAGAGAAAGAGGCAAAAAAGGTTATATGTAAAATGCCCTGAGCAGCATGTACTATTATAAAGCTGGTTTTAATTTTATGTTGGGGAATAGTTTATTACCAGGATGAACATCAAAATCTTCCCCAAAAGTGCTCTCACTGCTTTGAGAAGATATGAATCTAGCCTAATGTGACTAAAATGACATGACATGAATCCCACCTAACTTCCCTAACTAGCATAATGAAGAGAAATAAAACATATTTTGTCTTTTAGCAAATCACCAATTAAAGTTCAATAATACTTTTGAGGTATCTCAACTTTTATCAACACTCTTAAAACATGTGGAAATGATTCTACTTACTCTCCATCCACTTCTGGTCTTCTACATACACAATGAAACTTGCCACCAAAATCTATATAAAGATCATTCTCTACAATATGGAAGATTCGTCCAATGATGAGTTTATCCTTGGCAGGTCCCATCTGTGTAAGAGGAGAATGTCTCAGCATAGATGCAAAAGATTCCACATTTTTTGGAGAGCCCTAAAAAAAGAGGAGAGATTTATATGTATATTATTCAAGATAAAGGTATATGATAGATACAATAAAACTTTACAGGGGAAATTTTTAAAAGTGAATGTGCTGTATATTTATATTTTGTGGCAATATGAAAAAAATATTTAAATGGAATTTTGCTTTAAAAAATTAGATATACTCTTCAACCTCCTCTTCCTCCCTTTCCTTCTTGAAGAGGAAACCAGGAACAGTGCTTAGTGATGCTGATGTGGTGGCTCAGAGTAGAATCTGGAATGTGAGCAAAGTAAGGAGCATCCTTAGACAAAACCTCCTACCATGGGGACAGAGGGAGATCAGAGTCTGAGCATGTGAGTAGGGCATCCAAGAAAGTGATTAACTTTATTCCTAATACTGACCATCTGGGGCGGGGGGAAGCCTTCAAATTCAAGTTTAGTGGGAGTGACTAAATAGTATGGAGGTTCCTCAAAAGATGAAAAATAGAATTACCATATGATTCAGTAATCCCACTATTGGGTATTTAACCAAAGAAAATGAAAACTAATTTGCAAAGATACATGCACCCCTAAGTTTACTCTAGCATTATTTACAAGAGCCAAAGTGTGAAAGCAACCCAAGTGTCCAGTGACAGATGAATGGATAAAGAAGATGTGGTAGGGCGCCTGGGTGGCTCAGTTGGTTGCGCGACTGCCTTCGGCTCAGGTCATGATCCTGGAGTCCTGGCATCAAGTCCCGCATTGGGCTCCCTGCTCAGCAGGGAGTCTGCTTCTCCCTCTGACCCTCTTCCCTCTCGTGCTCTCTATGTCTCATTCTCTCTCTCTCTCAAATAAATAAATAAAATCTTTAAAAAAAAAAAAAAGATGTGGTATAAATACACAATGGAATATTACTCAGCCACAAAAAAGAATGAGATGTTGTCATTTGCAACAACATGGCTGGAACCTAGAGCATATAATGCTAAATGAAATAAGTCAGATGGAGAAAGACAATTATTAGATGATTTCACGCAAATGTGGAATTTAGTGATTTCACTCATATGTGAAATTTAAGAAATAAAACAAACGAACAAATAAAAAAAGAGACAAATGAAAAAACAGACTCTAATAAAGAGAACAAACTGGTGGTTGCCAAAGGGAAAAGTGGGGGGCAGGGGGAATGAGTGAAATTGATAAAGGGGATTAAGAGTACACCTACCATATGAGCATTAATGTATAGAATTGCTGAATCATATCACATATCCGAACTAATGTAATACTATATGTTAATTATACTTTAATAAAAAATAGCCCAATAAGAGGGTTTTTTTTAATTTAAATACAGATTAAAATAAAAGTGATAAAGGATCCTTCAATTACCAAGATGAACATGAGTTCTTGTTATATAATACTTTTAAACAGTTTTGTCATAATTTTCTTTTTTCTTGTTTTGTGCTGCTCATTTTCTAGGAGTCTTTTTATATACTGAATTTACTTGAGGTATGACTTAATATACAATGCAGGCTCCTTACTTCTTTTTTTTTTTAACTTACAAATTTTTTTCCAAACACACACTTTTTCAGAAATCCATGAGTATAGACTTGCACCTTCTACTCATCTTTAATTTGTGTCTGGTGTGGTATGTGCATTCTTTGGGTCAAATTAAGGGAAGTACTAAGTTTCTGTTTGTGAGAGCTAATTACAGAAGAATACTAACAATTTAATCTACCTACATCCTGTATTTGGAGTAAGTTTTACATCTGTTATTTCAGGGAGAATTATTAAGAGTCTGATAGTATGCTTACTTTACAAACTATAAAACCATATTTATGACTCATTTTTAATACATGTAGTACTCCAAGGATTACAAACTCAGATGCCAGGCTGGGTGGGGACTTGGTGAGCAGAAGAATATGTGCTAGTCTAAAAGGTACAGCCACTACTCAGCTCCAGCTGCAGCTGCAAATCGAGTCCAGTGTTGCCACATCTTTTGATTCTCCAAGAAAAGCCAGAAATCCACGTATTAACGTAAAATCCCCAATTTTTCCATGTTTATTAAAAAAAAAAAAAAGCCTTTTATTTTATCAGTCTGGTAAAATACACTTTGGCCCAAAGACCAAAGGCTTATGACCTTTGCCTCAAGGTAAAGAAAGTCAAAGGAAAAGAAAGTCAAAACATTTGGCTGATGCCAAGTCCCTTAGATGCAGGAAGGAGGGTATGGCGATGGATTTGTTTCAGCGAGTTGAAACACACTGGGAAGGAATCCTGAGCACCTAAGTGTCCATTTAAACCAAAAACAAGTCAGTAGATCTAGATGCCAAATAGAGCTGAAAAGGTAGCCAGGAATATTATGCTTTGAGCCATACTACTAGTTTTATAACTCCACAGGGTATAATATTAAAGGTCCCTAAACAAGCACCTTGAAAAAATAGTTCTTTCTTGTAGAGAGCCAAGGATGAAACACACTCTATGCAGACACAGGCTATACGAGTTGCCCTCTAGAGGTAGCGCAGAGTCAGACCAACCCAGCGGTGCCAAGAGCAGCTAATGTGACACTCCATTCATAACAGCTGCCCCCAGAGCAGCTGAAAAGAGCACCGCTCAAAGGCAAAGCAGAGTATCAGCTTCTGGGTCTCATCTTGCTTGCAGTCAAAGAGGGTCCTTCCCCCCTCTTCTAGGACCTGCTTTCCCATTACCCCACCCCTATGGTTGACAGTTCCTCCTACCTCTCTCTCCTTCCTTCTCCTCCTTCTCTTCTCCCCCCACCACGTTTGGAAGACTTTCAGTTGAAGCCATGGTCTAATTAAAACAGCCTTAGATGACAGGAAGATCCAGTAGTAAATATAATAAACATTTATTGAAAATAACTTAGCCATCACTAGGGCCTGTTCCTAAAATAACATAATCTCCTTTATAACTGTGAAGAGATGTTTAGCTAAGATTAGTACGACAGTGAAAGGTATTTCCTCCAAAGTTTTAGGAAATAATTGTTAGCAACTAATTATTTAATAAGATCTCTTAAGACTTTTTAGTAAATCTGTTGTAAAATATTTATAAGTTTCATAAAATTATGAAATTTTTATATTGAAGTACAATCAACTTATAATATGATGATATTATAACAATTTCAGGTATACAACATAATGATTTGATATTTGTATACACCGTGAAATGATCACCACAATAAGCCTGGTTAACATCCATCACCATATATACTTACAAAAAATTTTTTTTCTTGTGATGAGAACTTTTAAGATCTGGCCCTGCTCGGCGGAGAGCCTGCTTCTCCCTCTCCCTCTGTCTGCCACTCTGCCTACTTATGCTCTCTATGTCTGTTAAATAAATAAATAAAAATCTTAAAAAAAAAAAAAAAGATCTGGTCTCTCAGCAACTTTAAAATATACAACACAGTATAATTAACTATAGTCACCATGCTGCATTCCCTTGACCTATTTTGTAAATTTGTAGCTTCTGACCGCATACACTCCCCCCCCCATCCTACCTCCGGCAACCCCTAATCTGTTCTCTGTATCTATGAGCATTTTTTCTTATGAGCTTTGTTTTTGTTTGTTTGTTCAGATTCCACATATAAGTGAGATTACACGTATTTGTCCTCCTCTGTCTGACTTATTTCACTTAGCATAATACCCTCAAGGTCCATCAATGTTGTTGCAAATGGCAAGATTTCCTTCTTTTTCATGACTGAACAATACTCCATTTTATATATATATATATATGTATGTATGTATACGTATGTATATATACACATCACAGTTTCTTTATTCATCCATCAATGGAAATCTAGGTTGTTCCCATATCTTGGCTATTATAATGTTCATGCTATGAACATGGGGGTGCATACATCTTTTTGAGTTAATGTTTTTATTTTCTTCAGATAAATACCAGAAATGAATTGCTGGGTCATATGGTAGTTCTACTCTTAATTTTTTTTCGAAACCTCTGTACTGTTTTCCACAGTGGCTGTAGCAATTTACATTTCCACAAACAATGTACCAGGTTCCCTTTTCTCTACATCCTCACCAATACTTGTTATTTCTTGTCTTTTTGATAATAGCTATTTTAACAGGTAAGGCGATATCTCACTGCGGTTTTGCTCTGTATTTCCCTTATAATTGATGATGTTGAGCATCTTTTATATACTTGTGGCTCATCCATATGTCTTCTTTAGAAAAATGTCTATTTAGAATTTCTGTCCATCTTTGGGTTTTTTTGCTATTGAGTTATATGAGTTCTTTATATATTTTGAATATTAGCCTCTTATCAGATATGACTTTTTAAACATTTTCTCCCATTCAGTAGGATGCCTTTCATTTTGCTGATGGTTTCCTTCCTTTGCTATAAGAAACTTTTCAGTTTGATGTAGTCTCACTTGTTTATTTTTGCTTTTGCTGTTTTTGCTTTTGGTGTCAAATTAAAAAAATCATCACCAAGACCTATGTCAAGGTCCCTACTACCTATGTTTTCTTCCAGGAGATTTATGGGTTTAGATCTTATGTTCAAGTCTTTAATCCATTTTGAGTTACTTTTTTGTGTATGCTGAAAGACAAAAGACAGTGGTCTTTTGTATGTGGCTATACAGTTTTCCCATCACCATTTCTTTAAGAGACTATCCTTTCCCCTTGTGTATTCTTGGCTCCTTATCATAAATTAACTGAACATGTATGTGTGGGTTTATTTCTAGCTCTCTATTCTGTTCCATTGGTCTATGTGTCTGTTTTTATGCCAATAACATACTGTTTTGATTACTACAGCTTTGTAATATAGTTTGAAATCAGAGATTATGGTGTCTCCAGGTTTGTTCTTTTTTTTGAAGATTGCTTTGGCTATTCATGCTATGAATAATTATATTTTAAAAGAGATTTTAAATTCAAATGGTAATAGAATGCTATTGTTTTTTGTTCCATTATTTTTGCCTACACTTTGTTACATTTTACAATGGAAGTCAATGTATTTTCAGTGAGTGAAATAGTTTTACCACAAGCATAAGACCCCTGATTAACACCTGAATTTGCT